CGTTCGTAGCATATCGTTCTTTTATATGATGATGCGTTTGCTTATCCTGTTAGTATATATATACACTACGCCATATCAACAAAAAACAAAAAAGTAAAACATAAACAAAGCATCCGCTTTATACAAACCCCAAGCAAGCACTCGCACTAGTCTACCCAAGTGTACCATATACTGATCCGTCCAAAGCCGAGAACTATAATATAAAGCAGCTTTCATATGCCTCTACATACTTTAGTTAGCTTGATACACGCTAAAACCCACATATATCTGCATATACTTACCTACATAACCAATGAATTCATCCTATGCTGCATTGTCCTGCCCATAGTGGGCCGCAGAACCAGCGGTACGCTCTATCGCCCGCATAGCTTACCCAAGAAGACACACCATCTATGCCACGGTGCCAGATTATCGCCATCAGGGCATTGAGAAGCATTGGGTTGCGTGGGTTCTTCGGTTCATATACAGTTAATAGTGTTAAACTCTTAGGGCGTGGGCAGGGGAGAGTGTGTGATCGATTTTGCTTCGTTGAGTGTGAGAAAAGGATTGTCTGGAATGTTTGGCTGGTTAGTCGTGGTAGGATGGGGAATTTGGTTGCAATGGAATATAAACATGCATGACGACAACTAGTGAGGGAATACAAAGATTGTATTAAAACTAGGCAGTACATGTATAGAGTCCATGCATGAGCAAATTAAAAAACACCATAAGACCACCCAGATAAAATGAAAGCTACTAGTAACCAATCCAGCCTGCTCAGACAAAGACGAACAATGCAAACCCGCTAATAACTTACTCGAATAAACTCCTCACTCTCCACACTTTCCTCATGCAGGAGATCCATCAAGATGGCATCAGCATCTCGCAGCATGTAGCTGATGTGACCAGAACCCTCCTGCAAATGCAGCACGCTCCCTGGCATAGCGCGGTGCGCCCTCGAAGCTCTAGTTGCAGGACACTGCGCATCGTGCGTACCATGCCACAGACTCAGCGGGACACTCTTTTCAATGGGATTTTCATGTGCCCTGTGTGTGGGCCGACGG